ACTAGAGTATATATTTAAGAACGAATATATTGAAAGTATGCCCATTCGCAACAAAAGCTTTGTTGTTACTATTTTTTGTAAAAAGTCTTGCCTTACTTATATTTAAAGAAATTATAACAACAAAAAGAGAAGGGGAACAAAAAGTTTACCAAGAAAGATAATGCTTTGACACAAAATCACAGTAAAATCAACGTTTTATAGAAAACTTTTCGGTCTGTGGCATTGCAATTTAGACTGCCTGATCGATTAATGAAGTTGTTCCCCACGAATGAAATACGACTTTGACACGCTGACATGTTGACTGCGTAGAAAAAGACATATTTGTCACCCGTGAATCACATTCCATCAATTAGGTAAATCCTTATAAGTAAATTTGAAAGCGAACAAGTCCTAGGGTGGTTATTATGATGTTTTTAAAGTTGTTATAACGTTACTAACATTCCAGATACGTAGATTAACTGTTGATAAGAAACTCCTTTTTTGCAAATACGAGAAAGTAAATTCATTTACCAGTGTGGTGTCTTTTTATATTGGTGCAAGGGCTGACTGAATATTATGTTTGTGCATCTATGAATTCATATCTTTTTCTTGTTATCTTATCGATGGCATACACTATAATGCTTGCCACTGTAGTGAATATAATATTTGGCGTAAGGTATTCGGTGATTTTTGGTCACTGCGCGAGACATGCATAGAAGGAATGGTACGTCGTGCAGGGAGACTCCTGTCTTGCACCGCATAAACATGCTGAAAAACAAAATTGATCTCATTTTCCTGCAACACTTCACTCAGCATTTGCCGGTTTGTGCATGCAAGACAATCCGTCGTTGATATTCTGTGATGGTCGAAGAACAATCAACAACAGAACATTAAACAATCAGAATAAAACACCTTACCCAATAATATACGCATATGAATCCGACTTTTGTATATCGATATCACTCCAGTGGTCAATGAATGACGAAGAGCTTTACGTCTCTTTGTCAAAAAAGTCTTCAAGAAGTAGCGTTACAATATACGACGCCTATGACGCTACTAAAAAAAATAATTAGAAATTATTGTAGCTGCGCTTCATTTATTTATTTTTAATTTATTATATTTATATTATTTTATTATTATAGGTGTGCATGAAAAACAGCCTCGTTGAGTCGCACACCGTAACATCTAGGCAACGCATTAACCGACGTATTATAGAAATGTACTTTTGAGTCCCAATTTATAAGTCCTGTAAAAATTTTATTTAATTTCGAATCTATCTTCATATTTAAATATACCGCATAGGTCCATTTTTTGATGTTAACGAAAAGTATTCATTTACCGATACTTGGAGAGAAACAATGAACCGCTTCATCAAAAGGTTGAGTTGTAAATCGAAGCCAATTGCATTTGTGGGGACGTTCTTAATTGATTAACCATATCATATTACAAACTTTTATATAGGTAAAAATCTCTACAATACAACATTTTGACTGAAAACAGCTGTAAAAGATAAGTGCGAAAATGGCAATTTCGAACATACACACACATACACTAATTTTTTCCCACGGATGGGATCCTAAAAACACAGATGAGATATAAATTGATCATAGATCGAAATATTCTATCAAAAAAATTATTTAAACAGACTAAAAAACATTGACTAATAGTAATAATTAGTTAACTTGTTTATAAATATGTCACAGATATTATCTAGAACTGTATTTGTTTGGTGCATCTTTCGAACTCTCGATGTTCTACAATATTACATTAATTTATTTACATTAATTACGCTACTCGATTAAATTTTGTGACTCTCCGTTTTTTGAATTTTATCTATATGCAATAAATGGATTTAATTGTCAACCCTAATTTAGAATCGAGAGAGTTGTCTAACGCAACTTATCTAGTTATGCTACGTAGCATTTGTGTTCACTGTTGACGTTTGCAGAAAGGTGGTTAATTATATAATTTATCAACGCTCAGAAGTAATAGCTCGAATAACTATTTATCGAGATTTTGCATAGAAGGACTATTCGTAAAGATAAGCTCTAATACTTTCGTATCTACCTTTTGTAGGTTTCAATTTATTATTCTAGTTGGTTTACGATAAAATTCTAATTAAGGGCGCACATAATAACATTATGTTTTATTGTTTGGAATAAGACTTCCCAATTCCCATAGGGCTGGCACAAAAGAGCGCGGCTTGCGCGAGAGCGACATATAGCGCGACATATTTCTATTCTCGCATAGAGATCTCACGGTTTATCACTATCGCGCAAATGGCGCCCTGTCGTGCTGAAGTTTAATTTAATTTCTTGCGTAAAGTCAGGTTAAGTTCGTTTTGTAAATACGAAAAAATTGCTTAGCTCGTCATTTCTGATAAGTCGAAGTTTTTTTTCTTCATCAAATTCTTGATCAACCTTAGACTATAGTCATTGGAGAAAAATGACCTTTCCAAGTATCATAAATAAGAGCGGTTACACACGGCGACGTTTAACAGCGATGCAAACGTGACGCAAACTCAATGCAAGAGCGCGACTGCATTGATACAAATGCGCGATTGCATCGCACAACTTGGGATTTATATTCTATTGCATCGATGAGATCGCAAGTTTGTATCGATGGAGTCGCGCGCTTGCATCGCCTATAACTCGCAAGTGCAGCGATGCAATCGCGCGTTTCACGCACGCGAGTTGGCATCGCTGCTAAAAATCGCTGAATATAACCATTCTCAGAAGAAAAAAACGTACCGAAATAACTTTTTGAAAGTTGGCCACATTATACAATGTGGCCAACCAAATTAAACTTCAGCCAATCAACATCAACGAACTACATGTAATTTCACATTGACTTTTAGCACTTGAATATAATCATACGTTCGCAATTTGAATAAATAACGTATTTACAACAGCGTTTAACGTCCATTAATTGACATTCAAAAATTTAAATATTAATTGGAAGAATTATGTAGTCTAAACTGTTTTATGAATGATTAAACGTATTATAACGGTGTTGTTTAATTTATGATGGTGTTGTCAATTTTTTGTGCGAGTTTGCAATTGTAATTTCATTGTCTCACATCTCTTTACTTGACGTTTCTATCAATATTATGTCCAAGAAAACTTAAGAGTGGTCATCAAGTTAATATGTATGAATAGGGTAATTTTCAGGTAAGTATTTTGTACTCAATTTTGGTGACAATTTTTTTTTAATTTAAATATTCATACAATATCATCACGAAGTATTGTTTAATATTCGAGTGTAATAATGAAATATTCTTTAACATTTCACGATGATATATACGAGTAATTAAATAATAAAAATTGTCTCCATACTTATCCGGGTCATTTCCAGGTAAGTTTTTTGTACTCAGTTTTGGTGCAATTTCTTTTTGAGAACCGGGGAGAAACTGTTCCTATATCAAATTATTTAGGTATTTACTATTAAATAATGGTTTTACGAAACATATACGAAAAACCTAAGAATATTGTCTGAAGAATGTGCTAATCTGCTACACGATAGGACGTACTTCGCCCGATCATGTAACATCCTGAGAACAGGCTAAAATAACGGTATTTAAAACTAAAGTGTCTAACTTCGCACGTAATTTTTATATGAAAATACTCTTTAACTACAGAGAACCGACTAAATTTTGATTTTCAATTGAAGCCCTACAGTTATTAAAGTCACATTTATCCCAAAATTTGGAAATTGCCCAGCGGTTTAACGACGAGCCGCATCGCCCGTTGTCCCGTTAGTCGCCATCGGGTGCTTGTCGACGTCGGATCTGTGTCAAATTTTCTCCGCCTGTTCTTATTTTATTCGTATTAATTTTCAGAGCGCGAGACGCAAAAGGCGGTCCCCACAACTCACGTCCTAGAATGTAAATACTTCGCCTTCTATAAATAGAGTAAAAATACTATCTTTTGATTGAATAAGTTCAAAATTGTATTCGAAGAAGTTGTTCGAAACTAAAGCCTCTCCACGAATGTCATATTAAATGTATTTTTTTATAATGTTAAGTGACGGGACGAACAAGACGTGCTATCACTTCAAGCGATGGTAAGCTACACACCCATCTATAACAGTTGCAGTGGCACTCCAGGCTTTAAGCCGCAAAGGTCTGAGGGGCACTGCCACTGCGCCCGGCACCCGGAAACATAAGTTGAGAAGTCCCATGTGCCTATAATTTCACCAGCACCTTTACCCTTCAAAACCGGAACACAGCAATGCTGACATTACTGCTTGGCAGCAGAAATAGGTAAGGTGGCAGTATTAACCTGGATGAACTCTTTCACAAGGAGTTCTACTGCTACTAAATATTATGTATGTGGAGCGTGTAGCGTTAAAATTTTGGATACTTTTAGTTTAATTTTAAAACGTTATCGATACGTACATTCGATATTAATCAAACATATGATTAAATAGTTCAGTTACTTTTAAATTTAAAAATAACAGGCTGTTATGCCTGTAATAATAAACTTTTACTCAAATACCAGCCCTATGAGGGTTGGTATTTGAGTAAATAATTAGTTTAAATAATTGCGTCAATTAACTTTTAAACGTAGTTTAAATATTTACTGTGGAGAAAGAATCCTTAGTCAACTACGTACTCGAATACAAAACAATGCAACTAAATATGGCAATCATCTGCAGACTGCCATTAACTCTAGAACAGTCTCGTAGGTAATTGAATTTCCGACTCAGGCCCCTAAATCCGCCAATTAAGCCTAGACTAAACAATGTGAAGACGCCACAGCACTCGATATCCCTTTCCAATGCTAAAACAACAGCTAATTGACGCTGAACTTCTACTGGCTTTCGAACTATCCCGAACATTTGCTTTCCCCCAAATTAGGTTGAACTACCTCAACCTCCCGCGCGACATTACAACGCAGGCGACCAGGGGGTAGGGCAAAAAGACTGCTGAGGTTACTTATGGTAAAGCGGCGTTTATTGACGAAAATGCAACGGCAATGCAACCTGCTGTCAGTCAAGTTCAAGAGAGCACGCTGCGTGCGGCAGAATCGCCGCAGCCTTCGTCCGAAGCGCACGCGAATTCGCGCTCTTACAACCGACCGACACGCAGTACGAACGAGTGAATTCAAATTTTTAAAATTAAGAATTTATAATTACAAAATCGAGTGATTCTACATTGCTGTTGGTGTTCAGACAGGCAACCATGCAGAACTTAGCACGGTGAGTGCATTTTTTGTTCACGTAAATTGCTTTTACCTTTTGACAGAGTCGTGTAAAAATTGCACTTATGTAAATTTCTCCATAAAGGGTTAAACATTTTATTTAAACGTAAATACGGGAGGTTAGGTTTGATAGTGGATTAATTAAATTTTATTTGTACTAAATTCTTAAATTTTCTTTCTCAATTCAAACAAAAAAATTAATTACTTCGTAACCGACATTATAAGTTAAAATTTAATGGCATAAAAATTCAATTAGACCCCTTTCGCTTTAATTAAGAACAGAACTTGAGAAAGCTAAGTATAAAAATATTTTATGCGTCAGAAAAAACAATAAAACTGTACTTTTGAAAGGCATATGCTTTACATGCGTGTTAAACTGCTAATTAGAAGAATAGTTAGACAATTAGTAATGTACGCAATCCGGCTAGCTTTAACTTTACAATCTGTCATCAGTTTCCAACAATAGTACGATTTTCCCATACGATAAAAGATAGTGCGTGTGAAAAACGGAACGGCAATATTGTTAACAACTATTCAAGTTTAGTAATAAAAAGGAAGTAAAGTTCTTCTTACGTTTGTCGTCATGTCCTGTGCTTTGATAGTAATGACACCACTGTGATTAATGGAAGTTCCCGTTGGAAACCGCGGGTTTTGCTTTATGGAGATTGGCTGTTGTAAACTGGTTTTCTTGAAATTCATTGATAATTTTACTACTTTGTTCTTAGTTGCTTAAGATAAAGATGAAACTGCGCTCGTGTTCATTTATTTGAATGTACAGAGGACCACAGTTAGATACACACACAGTTTGAGAAAAGCTGTCGAAATTCTGTGTTGAAAATTATATTCTACGATATTTACGAGTACATAGCGGTCAAACTGCGTTCGTTTACTTTAAATTATTTGATTTGACAAATACTCAAATTTTGAAGTTGTTTCGGGACTACATTTGATAACTCTTAATTATCAATAGATAATTGCAACATTTACTTTTTTAATTTATACTATCTATGACTTTAATGTTACTTGAAGGAAAACATTATGATGACGCATCGAAGAAGGTACAGAATCTTTGGAACACGTGAAAGAAATAAAATTATTCTGAATTTGAATTAAAATTATTATTAATACAAAGATCGAACGTTAAGGAAACTTCCTTCGATCCTTCTGGATTCGAACCAGCGCTTTCAGCATACCGTGTCGCATCGAATGAATTTTCTTAGTGTTCATGTATGTATGTAGAGGTCGTTGTGAAAGAGTTCGTCCAGGAAAGTACTGCCACCTTTCCTAGAACCCCCAACCACTAATGTTATCTTTACTGCGTTCCGGTTTTGGAGGATAACGGTGCTGGTAAAATTACAGGTGCATGGGATTTGTCAACTTATGTCTCAGGGTGACGGGCGGGCAGTGCCTCTCAGATAATTGCGATTTAAAGTTCTGAGTGGCACTGCAACTGTTATGGACAGGCGCGTAGCTTATCATCACGTGCACGATTCGTTCGTCCCATCACTTGTTATTACAAAAAAAAAGTACTTTTTTAACTTGTGGGAGCAATTTCCCAAAAAATTATTTAATATCGTGGTAGGAAAACATCGTTATATTCAACAAAGTTAATAATTATATTGAAATGCTTTCATTTGAATACGAGTTCAAAATAACGCTGAGGTGCAATGTCGGGGTTTCAACCTCACGTAATCCAGCAAGTTTATTGCCACTGTGTTATCACTCTATTACCCGTTTCCGCACATTTCTTACGTTATGTTTTCCAGAAATACGAAACCAGGAAACCATAACACTGTGTACACAATATAGATACATGTTGTACATATATATTTACATATACAGCTCGCATTCCTGCAGTCGCTGATTCCTGCTTACGTATTCCATTTACATATTTATGTACCATAAGACTACTATAGCGATACTTTTAACACCTTCTGAAACAATTTTGTTAATATTGCTTGATTTGTTGATATTTCTACAAAACTTTTTAATTTTTTTTCATGTGAGAGTCGAGGATCTAAAATAGATGGATGCGGATAATGTTAAAAATGTGCGACAACCATTCCAGTTACCTGGTCTCAGCGTTTAACTGTATACAAGGCACAAGTCCGATCTTGCATGAAATAATGCAGTCACTTGTGGGATGGCTCGGCGAAATATCAACGTGAGGTTCTTAATTCGGTTGAACGTAGAACAGCAGACTTATTGGAGATGGTAAGCTCGAATCTAAACTTCATAGTTTAGCCCATCGGCGTAACTGTCTGTCGGTTTTCTACAGAATGTAATTCGGTGTGCCCATGGGCTTCGTCAGCTCATCCCGCCCGCCCCTTTAGCATCGGAAATCCAGACGTACGGTGGGATATCATCTTTACTTTGTCGATATATTTTTTTAAAAACCTCCATCTCTCCCGATGGAAAGCGATGATGAGGTCGACGACGTAGCATGCACAACTAAATGCTTATTTACTCTCTCCATGAAAAAGTTCAAGTAATAGCGTTTGGGGAATAAGTCCGCAGGTAGGGAATTCCACTCTCTAGCCGCTCGACATATAAATGTGGAAACAAAACGCTTCGTACCGATCCTGGGAATATCTAAAACGGGGATGGAATCCCAGCCCACGTCTAGTCCGAGGATGATGGATAGGGGAAGACGGAATCAAATTATGCAATTCCATCGCAAACTCTCCGTGATAAATCCTGTAAAATACCGATAAGCAGGCAACTTTACGGCGGTGTTCAAGGCTTCGCCTCTACTAATTGCCAGCAGCTATAAGCCTCTTGACACGCTTGTCGATTGAATCCAAAGTGTTCCCTTCAGCGCTTTTCGTCATCTTTAATGATGCGCACAGCCCAGGAATGGAATACCCTACTTGCGACTGTATTTCTGAGCACGTACAATACGAGTATCTTTAAGGCGTGACTAAATAGGCATCTTCTAGGCGAGCTCGTTTCATCGTAAAACCTATCTTTGCTCCAGGGCCAGGCAGAGCAGGACCATTAACTTTTAAAAAAAACTGGGGTACTCCCTGTACTATAAGTATCATAGCAAACTTTACAAAGTTCGTTTCTAAATTGAATGGAACCCCGAATCTTTTCTGCTAACGCCCACAGTGCTAACCGCTAGGCCACCAAGCTCGTCCTACAAAAGTAAAACCATTAGAACGATCGACTACGTTTGAAATGGTCCGCGTAATTATTTGCACTTGCACAGTTAAATATAGTCTTTATTTATAAAAAATTAAACAAATTTTTGTACATACCTAAGATAATTATAACTTTTTTATAAAAAAAGAAACCGAACTCAGAAGTTGGTGGAATCTAATTATTTACCTCTATTTTATTCAAAATCGGTTACCGGAAAGTGCGACAAACAGGATTCATCCCCTAGTTTGCCACCCTTAGAGGTGGAATATTGTCTTCAAATTTAAATGAGACCAATACTGAGGTACTCTCCAATAAAAAAAATCATCAAAATCGGTTCAAAAATGCCTTAGTAATCGAGTAACATACAAACACGAAAAAGAAATACAATCGAATTGAGAACATCCTCCTTTTTTGAAGTCGGTTAAAAAGAAATGCCAATCTAAAAATGTCACTACTATGACCTTCTTTAAAATGTACAAATGGACTGAGTTACTTTCTAGGTAGGACCATCTTCAAAAGCCGACCCACACAATTAACCGTTACGCATTATTCATAAAATATTCGAAATATCGGAAGCAATACGAAAGGAAATATTTTCAATAAAAAATAATATTATTAGGGTGGCAATACATCAACATAACTACAATCAGTAATCTAATGATCTATTGGGATAAAAAATAAGATATTTTCAACAATTTTTGTTTAGTATGCAAGTTTCGGAAGCCATTTTTATGGCACAGCGTTATGTTATGAGAAATGAATAGATATAGGTGGTATATTTAACTAAACGAACTCTGAAATCTCAGAATTAATTAAATAAACAAAAATAAATTAAATTAAATAGTTATATTTTACCTAAAATTACAAAACTTTTCCTCGAAATACGCAAGTAAAGTAATTGCTAGTTTTTTTTTTTCATCAAATGATGGAATGAAAATTTCGTGCACCTGGTGTTAACCGACATGTCTGTCCATAGCAGCGGCAGTACTACGAGCTTTAAATAGCAAAGATCTGAGGAACACTACCACTGCGGCTGTCACTGTGAGACCTACGTTGACAAGTCTCATTTACCATTACTCTTCAAAACCGGAACACAGTACATCTCACATTACTGCTTACAATACAATAACTCCGGCATTTCCGAGCGACGTATTATTTGACTAAGTATGTTTGAATTTGACATTTTTTTTTAATTATTATATATTTTTTTATTTTATTACAAAACCTGGTAACTAATTATAGTCTAGTCATTTTACAAGACTAATTAGAAATTTTAATTTAACATATTCCCTAAAACAAAAGCAACTTACATAAGGAAATTGTCAAACAACAAAATATCTTCTATTATTAGTTAAGGGGAAGACCCTTTGTTTATGTGATCATAGTCTAATTAACACTGACACTAATATTTATTTTATTCACTATTACTTGCTTACACTAAGTCAGGTTTAGTTCTTTGTAGTCTAGGCACTATATATGAAGTTTACGTAAACATACTCTATTTATTCCAACCTCTGATAGAAGGATCAAATAACATTATAACTTGTAGTCATAGAAGAATGAGACAAGTCTAGTAACTCCGTACAAACGTAGCAGCGCGACTCGCAGTGCACTCGAGCTGCGAAGCGCGGATCGTGACAATATAATTTATATTTAATTAATAAAAATAAAGGAACTGACTTCAAACTTTGCTTACATGTAAGTACATACAAACTGAAACTAAACAGTTAACAATCGGTTACCGGAAAGTGAGCAAAACCGGATTCATGCCCTAGTTTATCACCCTTAAGGAGTGGAATATTTTCTTTAACAGAATCATTGAAATAACAAATGCCAGAGTAATCGCGAAACGTA